GTAAGGGTGTTAGTTCCACTGGATGTTCAGAGTGGAGGAGACCTGTTGAGTTATTTGAGATATGAAAGCAGGTCCATTATCTGATTGTAATGAGGTGGGTCGGATATAGTGGGGAATGGCTTCTACCCAGCCTGAGAAGGCATCTACGAGGGTTAAGAGATATTTGATTGAAGTCAATTTGTCAGTCTTGTCCAGGGATTTGGCCCCTCGCCTGATGAGTGGGGAAAAGAAGGAGGTTTAATCTAACCTGTCCTTGGGGAGATACGGAGCAACACGTAGAACAGGTTTTGGTGATATCTTGCAGTAGGGAGGCTAGGCTAGGACATTGCCGGGAGCCGGTCCATGCTTGCTGTTTCAAGGGACCTGGCATATATGGCATACTGTTCTTAATATGTTTGCTCACCTTCTTGGCACTATGTGTTTTAACCAAGGTCTCTGAGAAAGGTTGTTTCCCCAGGTAGGGATTTTCCCCTGAAACTAGGGAGGGAATAAAACCTCTTAACTAAGTGCCAGGTGGGTAATTAATCACTTTAACTATGAACAATCATGCTTAAGCTACATAATCTTTACTCCCTGGAATGGAGATAAGAAACGCCCTAACCTTTGTAATAGAGATTGATAGGATTGAATCAACTGGTATAAATACAGATGTAATAAGACAGCAAGACACAGAACTTAGAATATGGAACCAAGAGAGACGGAACCTAGGCACAGAACCTACACAGAACGTTCTCTAGAGACAGAAGAACTTCACTGGAGAGAACATGGCAAAAGTTCCTGGACAGAAACTGGCCTCAGAACCTAGAGACAGAACCTAGCGAGAGAACATGGCAAAAGATCCTGGACTGAACCTGACTACAGAAATTGGCAAGAGAACCTGACTAGAACCTGGTGACTGAACCTGGCTGGAGAACCTAGCAAGAGAACATGGCTACAGAACCTGGCTGGAGATCCTAAGCAGAACCTCTCTGGAGATCCAGACCAGAACTTGGCTGGACATCCTGGCTGGACATCCTGGCTAGGCTGCTGATCAACTGAACACTGTCTCTGTGTCCTTCCTTCTTCGCCTACTCCGTCCACACCTTTGGGGACCCCTGGACCTGCTGGGGTTGGACCCCGGCAGGACATGGCCCGTAAGATATCATGGGCCTGTCCCTGGGGAAGGATATATTTTCCCTGAAATTTTAACCATGGATCTTCCTGAGTGGCCCCAAGAGCTAATAGGGGCTGAAGTTCCTCTGGAGTGTATTTGGGTGTTAGATGGGGTATAGCTAAGAGTTGAGGAGATGGAGGCTTCCTCTGAGCTGCTGCCTTGGCCTCCTGGCCTGCTTTGTTATCTCCCTGTGTTATGGAATCATTCCTGACTCAGTGTCCTTTGTAGTGTATGACTCTTAAGAAGGCTAGAAAAGGGGAGAAAGGTTCCTAACTGCCAAGCAAGAAGACCTGTTCAGGCTTTCAATGATGTGTCAAGGACTGTGAATGAGTGGTGGAAATAAAGAAAGTCTAAGCTCAGATATAAGGATATAAACAACAGGAGAGAACCTGGGTGGGCTGCTTTAGCTTACTAGGAGGGAAGGGGTCCCTTCGGACGTCAGGGGTCATCAGATCCTGACTCACTGGACAAACTTTTTGCAAGTAACAAATAACCAGCTTAGCCAAAAAGTAAACAAATAGCATTTCTTAGGTTGACATTTCACAAATAACGAGATTAGCCAAAGAGTAAACAAATAGCATTTGTTGACATTTGTCAACACACTTTATTTTATTTTTTAATTAAATCTTTATTGTTCAGATTATTACATTTGTTCCTCTTTTTTCCCCCCATACCTCTCCTCCTCCCAGTTCCCACCCCACCCTCCGCCCTCACTCCCCACCCACTGTCCTCATCCATAGGTGCACGAGTTTTGTCCAGTCTCTTCCCGCATCTCCCACACCCCTTTCCCCCCCAAGAATAGTCAGTCCATTCCCTTTCTATGTCCCTGATTCTATTATAATCACCAGTTTATTCTGTTCATCAGATTATTTATTCACTTATTGATAGATGCATATTTGTTGTTCATAATTTGTATCTTTACCTTTCTCTTCTTCTTCCTCTTCTTAAAGGATACCTTTCAGCATTTCATATAATACTGGTTTGGTGGTGATGAACTCCTTTAGCTTTTCCTTATCTGTGAAGCTCTTTATCTGACCTTCAATTCTGAATGATAGCTTTGCTGGATAAAGTAATCTTGGTTGTAGGTTCTTGCTATTCATCACTTTGAATATTTCTTGCCACTCCCTTCTGGCCTGCAAAGTTTCTGTTGAGAAATCCGCTGACAGTCGTATGGGTATTCCCTTGTAGGTAACTGAGTTTCTTTCTCTTGCTGCTTTTAAGATTCTCTCTTTGTCTTTTGCTCTTGGCATTTTAATTATGATGTGTCTTGGTGTGGTCCTCTTTGGATTCCTTTTGTTTGGGGTTCTCTGCACTTCTTGGACCTGTAAGTCTATTTCTTTCACCAGGTGGGGGAAGTTTTCTGTCATTATTTCTTCGAATAGGTTTTCAATGTCTTGCTCTCTCTCATCTTCTGGCACCCCTATAATTCTGATGTTGGTACGCTTGAAGCTGTCCCAGAGGCTCCTTACACTATCTTCATATTTTCAGATTCTTTTCTCATTTTGCTTTTCCGGTTGGGTGTTTTTTGCTTCTTCACATTTCAAATCATTGACTTGATTCTTGCGCTCCTCTGGTCTGCTGTTGGGAGTCTGTATAGTATTCTTTATTTCAGTCAGTGTATGCTTAATTTCTAGTTGGTTCTTTATCACAACATCGAGGATCTCATTAGATTTCTTGAGGATCTCACTACATTTATCGGCAGTTTTTAGAAAATTATTGAAAGACCTTAAAAGTGTGATTTTGTGGTCTATATCTTCCATTTCTGACATTTGCGTCCTGTTTCTTTGTCTCCGCATTTTTTTATGTTTTCTTGGTGCACCCCCTAGTGGTCTTTGTGCGCAGTCTTGTTGTAGTTAAGCCTGTCACGCACAGAGCAGGGCCAATCAGGGGGTTGGGGCGCTGCCCCCTGTCACACTCAGGGCAGGGCCGATGGGGAGGTTATGGCTCTACCCCATCACACACAGAGCAGGGCCCGTGGGGTGGGGGTTGGGGCGCTGCCTTCTATCACCCACAGAGCAGGGCCGATCAGGGGGTTGGGGCGCTGCCCCCTGTCACACACAGAGCAGGGCCAATCAGAGGGTTGGGGCGCCGCACCCTGTCACACACAGAGCCGCAGGGCAATCAGGGGGTTTGGGCGCTGCCCCCTGTCACACTGATCCGGGTGCCGGGAGGCCTCTCGGCTCCGCTGATCCCGGTGCTGGGAGGCATATTACCCTTTTATTATATAGGATAGAGGCCTGGTGCACGGGTTGGGGCCGGCTGGTTTGCCCTGAAGGGTGTCCTGGATTAGGGTGGGGGTCCCCACTGGGGTGCCTGGCCAGCCTGGGTGAGGGGATGATGGCTGTTTGCAGCTGGTCACACACCCTTCAGGGTGGGGGTCCCCACTGGGGTGCCTGGCCAGTCTGGGTGAGGGGCTGAGGACTGTTTTCAGGCTGGCGAGTGACTGAAGCTCCCAACCGCTCCTTTTTTTCTTATTCTGGGCCAGCTTTAGCTTTGAGGTTTGTCTCCAGCTCTTAGGCCTCCGCTGCTGAAAGCAGGTTTCTGGCCTTTGTTTACCTTCTGTATTTGAAACAATGTTGCGATCCTGCTGGCTGAAGCCCCATGGACTAAAGCAGGTTTCTGGGGTTTTGTTTAGCTTCTATATTTGTAACATAGTTGCTTAGAGTTGCCACTCAGAGGCCTGCAGCGGCAGGCGGGGAACATTGGAGTCCTCCGTCACTGAAGCAAGCAGGCCTCATGTTCACTTTAAGCTGCCTGGCTGCCGGTCGCCATCTTGCCTGGCAGTTAATTTGCATATTGCCCTGATTAGCCAATGGGAAGGGTAGCAGTCGTATGCTAATTACCATGTTTCTCTTTTAGTATATAGGATTATTTTTTACTAGAGGTCTGGTGCACGAATTCGTGCACCAGAGGGGTCCCTCAGCCTGGCTTCCCGGTTCGGCCGAAACTGGCTCTCTGACATCCCCCAAGGGGTCCCGGATTGCGAGAGGGCACAGCCCAAGCCAGGGGACCTGTGCACGATCAGGGCCAGGGAGGGATGCAGGAGGTTGGCCAGCCAGGAAGGGATTGCAGGAAGGCTTCAAGGTGTGTCCAGCCTGTCTCGCTCAATCCCGATCAGCCAGACTCCAGCAGCAAGCTAACCTACTGGTCAGAGTGTCTGCCTCCTGGTAGTCAGTGCACGTCATAGTGAGTGGTTGAGCGGCCTTAGCATATCATTAGCATATTACACTTTGGTTGAATGGACGATGGAACGACTGGACACTTAGCATATTAGGCTTTTATTATATAGAATTTTAGAGAGAGAGAGGGGAAGGGAGAGGGATAGAGAGATAGAAACATGGCTGAGGGAGGAACACCCCCCAGTGAGGACTGAGCCCACAACCCTGGCTTGTGCCCCAAACAGGAATTGGACTGTGACCTCTTGGTTCCTAGGTTAATGCTCAAACACGGAGCCACAACTGAAGGGGCTCCTTTTTATTTTAATGAGGCTGCTGGAGGGACTGGCGTCAAGCATGTTATCAACCTACCTTGTTAAACTGGAACTTAAGAGATTTATTTTGAAAATCTTTTTGGAAATGAGTAGTAGAAAATTTTATTTTCAGCTAGATTTTTTTGGTGTTGTACCTCTACTTCTCTTTTTTGAATGGAAATATTTCTATAGTACTTACTTATTATTAAAATATTAAATGATATGGAATTATATAGACTAGATCATGAAAAGCTCAATATACCTGCCCTCGACAGTAACTGACACCCACCTTAGCACTGCCAGGCTTTGTACGTACACATACATACTACCCCCACTTTTTTTTTTCTTTATTTTGCTTGTTTATTTCATTTTCTTCAGGTCTCCAGGAAACCTAGAGAAGAACCGCTATGGGGATGTACCCTGCCTGGACCAAACAAGAGTAAAACTGATAAAACGAAGTGGCCACACTCAGGTAGACAGATAAATTCCATCTTTTCAGGAGTACTGAGGGAAATTTAAGTCTCTTACAAAGTGAAGCTTACTAATACTATAGTTGAAAGAACATGGATTCTAAGTCAGAAAGATACTGTTTGAGTTTTAATATTGCTACATACTGGTCTATTGTTACCACAGACAAGTCCCTATATGTCCATCTCATAGTAGTAAGTGGAGATTAAATGACATACTTTATGTAAATACTGATAGTACAAGGTCTGATATATTGTAGGTGCCTGATAAATGTTCAATTATTGCCCTGGCTGGTTGTGGCTAAGGTGGTTGAGCATCATCCCATGCACTAGGAGGTCACTGGTTCGATTCCTGGTCAGGGCACATGCCTGGGTTGTTGGCTCGATCCCCATTGTGGGGTGTGCAAGAGGCAGCTGATCGATGTTTCTCTTTCATCAATGTTTCTATCTCTCTCTCTCTCTCCCTCTCCCTTCCTCTCTCTTAAATCAATAGATATATATTTTTTAATCACATATAATGCATTAGTAGAGATATTTAGTGAAAATGTTCAAACATTTAACATCAGTGTTTTGTCCTCATTTGGATCTACTTTTTGAGTTAATATAACAGTTTTCTAGAGCACATCATTTTTATTTCCTTTTAAGTAAATGATGATGTCACTGGAAAGCTTATTCTAAACTAGAAAAATCTATTAGCTTAACATTAGCACAGTTTTTTTTTCATTCATCCTTACCTCATGCATTGTCTATAGCATAATCATTCACTTACTCCTTTTTCTAAAAAATATTTTTGTTGATTTCAGAGAGGAAGGGAGAGGGAGAGAAACATAGGAACATCAATGATGACAGGGAATCATTGATCGACTTCCTCCTGCGTGCCCCCTACTGGGGATTGAGCCTGAAATCTGGGCATGTGCCCTGACCAGGAACCCAAGTATGACCTCTTGGTTCATAAGTCGATGCTCAACCACTGAGCCACACTGGCTGGGCCACTTACTCCTTTTTAAAGTCCTCCTTAATATCATTTGTTTACAGCAACATTCAGCACTTACAATTTTGAGGTCAATGACTAAAAAAGTATTACATTTTTTTCTTTTCCCTTCTTTTATACCAGTTTTGTCTGGTGGCTTCTATACACATTTAAAAAAAAAAAAAAAGCATTGGTTGAGGTTTCAAGTAAAGGAATTTAAATAGTACCCTTAACTTTAACATGACACACATTATAGGGAATTGTTATATCCCTTCTTTTTCTAGGGGAAAAGTTTTTGGAAAATCATTGCCTTGTATGTAGTGCATGGATATTGTAACCTTAATGTTTTAAGCACATAAACTAAATTCCAGTCTAGGACCCTTACAGAAGGTTTTCTTGCAGGAGCATTAGGTAAGAACCTGGCTGACTGAGGGCAAATTCATCAGTATTGTTGAGATTATCACAGTATATGCTATGAACAAGCAGAATATAAGGGCTAAGTTGTGGCTCTGGAGTCAGAGATAGCTATATTTATGTCTTATTGAGTGCTCTGTCTCCAATATTTAGAACAGTGCCTGGTACATACCAGACGTTCCGTAAATTATTTGTGAAGGAATGAGTGAATCTCAGTGTATCATAAGACTATTCTAGTTATCCTGTAATTAATTTGAAGATCATCACTTGAGTTATAATCCCTTTCATTACTATAAACAATGACAGAGGCTTTATTTCCACAGTAAATGGAGGAGTCAGGTGAATTGTTCACCAGATTTGCTCCTGAAATTGTAAAGCTATTAGTCATAGTTTCTATTGAATAATCAGGTAATAATGGAGCCTGGGTATGAGTCCCATGCTGCTGATGTGATAGCTTTGAGGTATATGAGGTATAGCTTTCTTCCTTTTTCAGTCACACTTTGCCTTTTATGTGTGGCAGCATTGACAGGATGTCCTGCTCAGGTGCTTGGCTTGCCTCCTTTTTGGTTCTGAGCTATAGCCCTGCAAGTGTTACTGGATTCCTTTACTTCTTTTTTTTCTTTTTAATAACAGCTTTCTTGGTATATAATTGACATACCATACAATTTATCCATTTAAAGTGTATAATTTAATAGTTTATTTTTTTGTTTTTATTTTTTTATTATTTTATTTTTCATTGATTTTTTTTTTTATTAAATCTTTATTGTTCAGATTATTACACTTGTTCCTCTTTTTTCCCCTCTCATAGTTCTCCTCCACCCGGTTCCCACCCCCTTCCCCCCCCCCCCCCCACACTGTCCTCATTCATAGGTGTACGATTTTTGTCCAGTGTCTTCCCGTATCCCCCACACCCCTTTCCCCCCTGAGAATAGTCAGTCCACTCCCTTTCTATGCCTCTGATTCTGTTATATTCACCAGTTTATTCTGTTCATCAGATTATTTATTCACTTGATTTTTAGATTCACTTGTTGATAGATGTGTATTTGTTGTTCCTAATTTGTATCTTTACCTTTTTCTTCCTCTTCCTCTTCTTAAAGGATACCTTTCAGCATTTCATATAATACTGGTTTGGTGGTGATGAACTCCTTTAGCTTTTTCTTATCTGTGAAGCTCTTTATCTGACCTTCAATTCTGAATGATAGCTTTGCTGGATAAAGTAATCTTGGTTGTAGGTTCTTGTTATTCATCACTTTGAATATTTCTTGCCACTCCCTTCTGGCCTGCAAAGTTTCTGTTGAGAAATCAGCTGACAGTCGTATGGGTACTCCCTTGTATGTAACTGAGTTTTTTTCTCTTGCTGCTTTTAAGATTCTCTCTTTGTCTTTTGCTCTTGGCATTTTTTTTTTTTTTTTTTTTTTTATCTTTTTTTATTTTTTTTTTTTTTTTTAATTAAATCTTTATTGTTCAGATTATTACATTTGTTCCTCTTTTTTTTCCCCCCCATAACTCCCCTCCTCCCAGTTCCTGCCCCACCCTCCGCCCTCACTCCCCACCCACTGTCCTCATCCATAGGTGCACGATTTTTGTCCAGTCTCTTCCCGCATCTCCCACACCCCTTTCCCCCCCAGGAATAGTCAGTCCATTCCCTTTCTATGTCCCTGATTCTATTATAATCAACAGTTCATTCTGTTCATCAGATTATTTATTCACTTGATTCTTAGATTCACTTGTTGATAGATGTGTATTTGTTGTTCCTAATTTGTATCTTTACCTTTTTCTTCCTCTTCCTCTTCTTAAAGGATACCTTTCAGCATTTCATATAATACTGGTTTGGTGGTGATGAACTCCTTTAGCTTTTTCTTATCTGTGAAGCTCTTTATCTGACCTTCAATTCTGAATGATAGCTTTGCTGGATAAAGTAATCTTGGTTGTAGGTTCTTGCTATTCATCACTTTGAATATTTCTTGCCACTCCCTTCTGGCCTGCAAAGTTTCTGTTGAGAAATCAGCTGACAGTCGTATGGGTACTCCCTTGTATGTAACTGAGTTTTTTTCTCTTGCTGCTTTTAAGATTCTCTCTTTGTCTTTTGCTCTTGGCATTTTAATTCTGATTTGCATTTTTTATGCTTCCCTGTGTTGATAGAGTGGCTTTCTTTGCTAGGTGTCCTATAGGGCCCAGTGGCTCAGCCTCCCCAATTATCTGAGGTGGACACTCTTATTGCACCCCTTTGTGGGCTGTGTGCACAGTCTTGTTGTAGTTAAGCCTTGATTGTTGTAGGTATCACTGGGAGGAATTGACCTCCAGGCCAATTGGCTGTGAGAATCAGCTGTGTCTGCAGTGGGAGAACTTCTATGCTGGAGACACCCTTCTGGGGCAAGACTTGCTTCAGTGGGGCTTTGGTGCTCACTGAGTCTGCCCCCTGAGTGTGTCCCTTATGGATCTGAGGAGTTGTAATCTGGATGGTCCCACTCTGACCACTGGGTATACTGGCTCTTGGATCTCTAAGGAGATGCTAATTTAGCCTCTGCCTGAGGCTACCCAGCAGGAGCTATGGAGAGATCTGCAGATTGCAGATTCCTCTTCTTTGTTTGGGGTTTGGAGGTGCCTAGATGAGGCCCAGCTATGAAGCAATGCAAGCTGCTGTGGGGCCTTGGGCCTTCTTTTGGATGTTCTGGGTATCTCTGACCCAGCTGCAGCTTGTTAGGTAATTTTAGATTGCAAAGGGCCAGACCCTTCATATGCAAAAGCCTCTGAGCACAGCTAGGGTGGGGCAGGGTCTCAGGGAATCAACAGGGCGGAGCAAACAGCTATGGCTGCTCCTCAGTCCTGCCCTAAGAGGCCCCACTTCTCAGTGTCCCGGTAATTGCTGCAAGCACCTCTGAGAGAAAGCCGCCCTCAAGTTCCGACCGATGCCAGACAGTCCAGTTTCTCCCCGTATGAGTCTGGGTCCCCAAAGACTCAGAACTGGAACTGGAGTTCAGAGCAGTCGGGAGCTTGAGACACCCTCTCAATTGAAAAAGACAACTGCGTCCTCAGTTGCCAGCCCTTTCCATGTGTGCCTCCGTACCTCTGTACTTTACTTCCTCACCTCCTCTGAGTCTCAGTGTGCTTTTCTCTTTCCTTCTAGTTCTAGAATTTCCACTCAGCCAGCCTTCCTGTGTTTCTGGATGATGTCTGTTTTGTCTTTTAGTTGTATATTTGTTTTTGTTTCTTTGTTTGTTTGTTTGTTTTAATTTTTGTCACAGAAAATTTTTATTTTCAGTTCAAAAGGAAAGAAGTTACAAAAGTAAAAAGTGACTGTCTCTTGGCATTAGTTGCTTGAAGTATGATTTTTTTTCCTTTTTTTTTTTTAATTAAATCTTTATTGTTCAGATTATTACATTTGTTCCTCTTTTTTCCCCCCCATAACTCCCCTCCGCCCAGTTCCCGCCCCACCCTCCGCCCTCACTCCCCACTCACTGTCCTCATCCATAGGTGCACGATTTTTGTCCAGTCTCTTCCCGCATCTCCCACACCCCTTCCCCCCCCAAGAATAGTCAGTCCATTCCCTTTCTATGTCCCTGATTCTATTATAATCAACAGTTCATTCTGTTCATCAGATTATTTATTCACTTGATTCTT